AGGAAACTCTAAAAAGAAGAAGAAAAAAATCATTTACACATAAAGGACAGAGCTACAGAAGTTCACGAGGAGTGGCACCACTTCTAATAACTGCTATTAATTGTAATATTCATTACCTTCCTTCTACGCGCCCATCCCATTGTTCTGCTACAATATATATATATATATATATATGGGATAGGTTATTGTGCCTACTCCTATTTTACCTACTTTTGCCTACCCTTTTCGTTACCGTGCGATTACCATCTCATCCAACGATCCATATTTGTGATATAAAATAAACCTTTTTTTCCCTTTTTTTTCTTCTCACTTTCTTCCATACCCTTTCTCTCTCCTCCCCTTTCTCTCTTCCTCTGCCATATACTTAATTTTTTTCCCTTCTGCCGCCGTGGACCTCAATCTCTTGACAAACTGTTCGATTCTAATGATATTTTTAATCCTTATAAATTAATACGATTGAATCGATGACTAACAAAGAAGTTTTGATGTGATTCAAAGCGGTGGTGCCACAAGGTCGATCTGTTCACAGAATCCTCCTTGTCTCTGCTTCAATATGTCGATCTGTTCTTCCACATGATAGATACTCTTAATTTCTAATAATTAATTGGCTATCCGTATCAACATAATTGCTGGAATGGCACCAATTAATCCTCTTTCCGGATTTTTCCAATATCAATTTTTTTTATTCTTTAATTTTTTTTATTTATTTTGAATCTTTTCCAACTCTGCACAGATCTTTTGAATCACATTAAAACTTCTTTGTTAGTAATCGATTCAATCTTATTAATTTATAAAATTTATGTTGTTCTTCAGATCTAAAAATTTGTTGTGAATTTTCAATCCATTGACACTGGTAATTTGATAGAAACTGATTCAGAAGGAGAAAATTTATATTACAATAATAAAAACAGAGACTAATGTATATTGACGATGATTTCAAATGTTGTGGTAATTGATTTCAAATGCTTCCACGCCGTTCACTGGGCAGAGATTAACGATAAAGGAAAAAAAATAGGTATATGGCATTGGAAGAGAGAAAGGGGATGAGAGAGAAAGGGTATGGGAGAAAGTGAGAAGAAAGAAAGAGAAAAAAAAAAGGTTTATTTTATATCATAAATATGGATTGTTGGATGAGATGGTAATCGAACGGTAACAAAAGGGGTAGGCAAAAGTAGGTAAAATAGAGTAGGCACAATAACCTATCCCTATATATATATATATATATATATATATATAGATATATATATATATATAGGAGTAAATATTTCTACTGTCATTTTAAATAAGCTTATCTACAGCTATCTTTTATAACTATGTTCTCTCGGAAAAATATAGTTATAACACTAAAGTTACTTTTTTTTTTCTCTCATTATTTACTTTTTAGAACATGTCTGCTAACGTGGAGAGAAAAAAAAAGTAACTTTAGTATTATAACTATGTTCTCACTGGAAAACATAGTTATAAAAGGGTAGCTGTAGATAAGCTTATCTAAAGTGACTATAGAAATATTTTTCCATATATATATTGGGAAAAACATTTCTCAAGTTGCTTGAGATAATGTTATCTCCGACTATCCTAAAACTACGTCGTTTTGTTTATTTATTTTCGTATATTAATTGATTCACCTTTGAATGATTATGATTCTCTCTTGCTTTCTCTTCCTTTATCATTATTGATCCATCTTTGTACGGTTATAATTTAGTAGCCGAAAATAACATTGTCTCAAGCAGCTTGAGAAATGATAAGCTCATATATAAATATATATATATATATATATATATATATATATATATATATATATATATATATATATATATATATATATATATATATATATATATATCATCAATGTAGTTATGTAGATTACTATAAGCATCATTGTTCTTAAAACATTTCCTTACCCTCTTAATAAGTTTACCATTGAATGCATGAATAATTTAAGGGTTTGATTTTTTTCAAGTTGCATGAGATAATTTGTCTCATGCAACACACGAAAAAGTGGGTAAGACCCACTTTGAATAAGAGAGAGAAAGGAAAAAGTGAGTCACACCTACTATTTTGTGTGTTGGATGAGACAAATTATCTTATGCAACATAAGAAACTCATTTCCCATAATTTAAAGGATACATGGTTTCCTAAGTTATTAATTTTTTATTTTTCTTAAAGGAAAAAATATTTATCTTTTTGAATGATATAACTTTGTATTATTTTAGATCCTGACTATTGATTTCTGTCAATCAATGGTTATAATTTATTGAGAATTACTAATTAATTAATAAGTTTGATCCAATAAATTATAATTGTTGATTGACGGAAATCAACAGTTAGTATCTAAAATGACACAAATTTATATTCTTTAAAAAAATAAATATTTATCCCTATCTTAAAACACAACAAAAGAGCAATAATCATGTTCATTGTTCTTTGCCTGTATATTCATGTAATCTTATTTTTATTTATAAGAGTTTAAAGTTTCTTATATTGTAGAAGATAAAATTATCTTTTATACATATATAAAATTATATGAGACCCATATGAGTTAATGTGAAGAGAAAAAAAAGAAAAAAAATATGAGTTAACGTGAAGAGAAAAAAAGAGAAATAAAAAAACTAAGCCCCACATTATATGTGTGTAGAATATAATTTTGTATTTTATAATATAAGAAATTTTAAACCCTATTCAAAACTACACACATTTAAGGTGATATTATATAGATGATATATATTAATAATTTTAATTAATTCATATCAATTAATGCTCATTTTTAAAAATTGTATATAATTTATTTAATATGAAAATAATTTATTAAATTGTATCTTAGCTTAATTTCATTAAAACGCTGTTCACTTCACAATTCGGATAACACTATTTATTTATTTTTTGAATACAGATAACACTATTTTGTTTAATGACTTTAATCACACGAAAGATATTGTGGGGAATTATCAATCATGTAAAAGCAGTTTATGTCTTTGGGCGGCGAGCGAGTCCAAAGAGATGTTCCATTCCACTTCGTTTCCTAGTAACATCATTATTTACTTTGCTCCTTCTACTACAAATGTTTTGTCCTCATCTTATAAAAAAATATATATATCTTTTTCCTTTTTTGTTAGTTCCTTTTTATTTTAAGGGAGATAAAATCTCTTATTATGAAGAGTGCATTGTGACGAAAGTTATTTTATGCTTGCAAGTATATTTTGTGTGTGTGTAACTCAAGGTATTCTCCGATCCATAGTGAATGGCAGAGTCAAAAAATTTTATTCATGCACATTTAGTTGTGAGTCTAAATTTTTTTTTTTTAATTTTTTAAAATGCATTATAAAATAAAAGAATATAAGCAATAAAAAAAGAAAATTATTCACATATATCAAGCTATTTCATGCCTATTTCATTTTTTTAAATGATATTTCAAGTTAGAGTAAAGTACTTTTTGAGTCCTTAATAAATATCATGGGGCCGAATTTAATCACTTAGAAAAAAAGTCGACTCGTGATCTATCTGAAATTCAAAATAGACCCATGTTAATTCTTTTGAAGGACTAATGTGGATTTTCTTTGAATTTCAAGAGGACTACGATTTTGACTAAATGTGTCTATTTTAAATTTCAGATAGCCACGAATCAACTTTTTTTCTTTAAGAGATTAAAATCGATTCCGTGATTTTTATCGAGGACCCAAAAGGTACTACTATTCAAGCTATTAAAAAAAAATTAAACGCTATTTCAAGCTACTCACATAGCAAATTCGGCAATAGTAGAGATGACTCACCAACTATTCATATTATCAAGCTTTGCTATTTCAAATGAAACTTTGTTTATGTGTGCACTTACACACGTTGGCAATTGTGTAGATCCGTCACTGTCCACAGTAGAAGATTAATCTTCTCAAAATATAGAGATTATCGAAGTGAATTTTGTCTTTATCAATAAAGTCTTTTTCATATACATAGCCAATAATCGAACCACTGTCAATATAGTTAAAGAATCCAATTATCTATCAACCATGTCTGCTTTTGATTATAAGAAAATTCTTCTTAAAGAATAGTTATTTTATAAAACATTTTAAAAAATTCAATTAAAAATTTATGGCATTCCGAATAATCTAATTCATCGTACTATTAAAACTTGAAAGCATCTTCTAATATTTTCACTAAAAAAAAATCTTTTAATAAAATTAAAAAGTGAAAAAGACTTGAACAGTCCTCGTTAAATCATCCTATTCATACAAGGCCGAAAGACCGCTCCTCTAGACGGTGTAGTAGCTGTCTTGATAAAGACGGTCGTTCCAAATTCCATTGAGGTTGCAATGTCTGAAATAAAACACCATAACTGGAAAGATTTTGAACTTCATGAAACGATTTTTTTAAGAAGTGGTTCTAAATTAAATTTGTTTAAAAAAATAATAAAAATAAAATGCTGTGTATATTAGATAGCGTAGATTAGAAGACAAAATTGTATGTTTTTAGAAATTTGTCTTTTTTAACGTGAATTAAAGTTTTTATGGGTTTTTCTACCTCTAGTCATTAATAAATAATGTTTGATAGTAATAATAAAAATTACTTTTAAATATATAATTACTGTAAATTATGTTTTAAATTATATTATTAACAAATTGATGACAAGATTTTTTTAAAATTAATTGAAATAGATTCTCTTATGTTGAAATTTCATATAAGAGGATCATGTGAAATTTTTTTATCTATCTATTTTGTGTAATATATTGAATAAATATGGTTCAATTATCATTATTATAAAAAGAGATAGACACAGAAATTTCACATAATCTTTTCATATAAAAGTTTAACCTAAAAAATCCACTACCAAGTTAATTTGACTTTCGAGAGCGTAGAGGTCAGAGAAAATTTTGTACAAAATGAAAAATAAAATTCTTTTAATATATAAATTTTAAAACATTTTAGGAATGAGTTATATCACCCTCGTTTGAATCACTTTTGAAACTGACCCATTGCAAAAATAAATATTATATCTATTTAAAAATGGGATTACATAATATTTGCACAACATATACAAATAAAATCGACTAGGAGAACATTCAGACATACAATATAATATCTTTGAAAAAAACATTGGTTCATATATTAATATCAATATTAATATCATGATACGTAACCCCTAATCCTCGTATATACATCAGTCTCGTTCATATTATATTGTACATGCACCAGCACCTATCCCATCTTTCCCCTCTCTCTACTTAGCCAATCTGCTACAATCAGCCCTACCAAAACCCACTCTACGATTGGTCAGATCAAATTCCACCCACATATTTTGCTGGTGAAAATTCCCAATAATGTTACTGGCCGCATTCAATTTTTCGGAGCTTCCAATCCCAATACAGTGGACCCCACCTCCCACGTCAGCAAGAACCCTCTCCTTGGGAACTACTATCTCCACGCCTTTCTCAAACTCAAACACCATGTCCCCTATTAACCGTCCGATCTCGATGGCATCACCGTCGAAACACATGTCAGCAACTCCACCGTACACGTACCCCTTCTTCATCCCGGGCCCCACTACCCTCGCTACTTCCTCCCGCACCTTACCGTAAGCCTCGTTAACAAGGTACGTGAACTCGGATCCGGAGTCAACAATAGTTTGACCCGACCCGCCCGCGTCCGCAACGAAAACCGCCGGCGAGATGCTCAGCTTCTTCCCGCCGATCCTAATCCCCTGTATCGCGACGGTGTAGGCTAAGGGATCAAGGTTCGGCATGCGTTGACTCTGAGTAAATGTCAACATTTCGACGTACCGGAACCCTGCAGAATTCGGGTTGTTACCGAGATAGAACGACCCGGTTGGGAAGGATCCGGGTCGGGTCAGTCGGGTGGGTACACAATAAGAGAATTTGGTAATTTTCGATTGGGAAGCGAAGGACAAGCGCCCACGGTTCATTCCCAAAATGCCCCTTGCGTCGTCGGATTCAGTGGCGCAACCTAGAATAAGGGGAGGGGTAATAACGGAACGCGAGAAAGTGAGTTTTTCTCTGACGAGATTGCCCTCGGCGTAGGTACCGTCGGCATAGAAGTAAGAGTAGTGGCAGAGGCGGTTCTGGACACAGGACGTGGAGAGGGTAAAATCGGGAATTCGAGGTTTGCACATAGGGTGTGTACAGGGGAGGATAGAGAAAGTGGAAGAGAGAGAAGGATCAAACGACGCCGTTGGTGGAGGCTTCTTTGGTGCTTTATTGTGACACTGAATCCACGAGAGTTGGCTTCCTGTGTCCAACACCATTTGTTGAACCTGCGGTGGTGTTCCAATGGGAAGGGACACGATGAGAGCCATTGAGTATTTGAAAGAGAACTTGTTGTTGTTGTTGTAAGAAGATGAAGGTGGTGTTTTGAGTCGTGGGTTGCGCTTTGAATTTGAAACCATAGAACTGTATAGCATTTTTGAGGTGGTGTTTGTGGAGAGGTGTAATGTGAGAGGGAAAGAAAGTGAGAGTGAGTTTAAGTTTGTGGTGTTGTTGGTTTTGGTGTTGGTGTGGTTGAGTTGTGCAGAGACGGTAACAGAGAAGAAGAAGAAACAGAGGAAGAGAAACATGTTGGAGAGTAATGACATGGCCATTGAAGAGTGTGAGTGTTAAGTGTGGTAAAGTGAGGTTTGGGGTTGTGTTGTATTTATATAGCAAAAAAGTATGAAAATAAGAGGAAATGGGAGAGGAAAGAGGAACAAAGAAACGCCAAAAGAAGACGCGTTTTCTTCGGTTGAGTGGGGGGGTGGGATTCTCTGTCAAAGACACAACACTCAGATATTATCTATCTCTCCACATCTTATGATCATACCCAATTAAATTTGGCTTCATCTTTTTTTCTTTTAAAAAAAATAAATTTGGAAGGTGTGTCTTAGTTAATGATTTTATATTTCATTTATGCGAATGGGCATTTCTCTCCTGTGATCTGTGTCTGTATCTTTATTGCGCTTCTTTATTACACTTCATACTTGTCAATGAGACGTGGATATATATATGTATGTGTAGACGTAAAGCAAAAGTTTTTATTTTTTTTTTCAAAAAAGAAGAGAAAAAAACTTATTTTATATTCCTTTTCTTTTTTAAATAACTGTTATTTAAATTATTTTAAGAGAATCTTCAAACAATGGGCCGAAAAGGGTTTCATACTTTGATTACTTTCACCTCCCCTGGCAAATCCAAGTATATATGTGTCTGTGAGAGTTTATTTAATAATTAAAAGTTTTTTAAAGAATAATTTAGAAGATTTAAATTTATTATTTATTTAGTGCCTTAAGTTACCCTAGGAAGAATTAATGTGAAGGAGGTAACTGGTAAGGTAGTAGTAGTGGTGGAAGCTATACAAGTGTAGGGCAGGTCGTGAAACCCAACGACAAAGCGTTAGAAAGATTATGTTGTGAGTTAAGAGCGTGGCGTTTGATATGGGGCAAGTGGGATGTTGACGTAGTCAACGACAGCTGGTGTCCAGCTCGTAAGAAGAAGACGCCATCACCCACATGTACCAACACTGACACAGGACACGACACGATACACTAACGCATTAATTTTAAAAAAGGTCATATTTTGACATGTTAGGATATGTTTTGATATTAAATATTATTTTTAATATATATTATATAATTTATATTTAACATATATAATAGCTTATAATAAGTTATATAACCAATTAAATATTCAAATTTCATATCATAAATATAAAAAAAATAATTTTTCGTACCTTGTTAATTTTTTATGACAAATTTCATAACAGAAAAAAATTAATTTATAAATAATTTTATTTTTATTTTTAGTTAATAAAATAAAATTAAGACTAAGAAAAAACGTGTCGGAGCGTGTCAGAAAAACGAGTGGGAGCGTGTCGGAGAGTTGACCACGTGTCCTAAAATATTGATCGCGTGATGAAAAAACGTGTCAGAATGTGTCAAAACATATTCGTGTCGAACATGTGTCCGACACGCACATTTTTAAAAAATAATGCTTTAGAGCCCACCATTACGAGAATATGTATTAATTTTTGATGTATTTCTTATTTATAACATGACACGTGTTTTATTTTATTATAATAAAAATAATTCATTTTAAAATTAGGTAACAAGATAATTTAATAAAAAATAATAATATTACATCAAACTTTTCCTTATATGATCAGATAATGAATTATAAATAAAAAATATATCAAAAATTTGGTGCATTCGTAATACTTACTAAAAAAAAAAAAAAATTTGCCGCCATTACCATATATACATAGGACAAAGTAGGTGATATATAGGTGGTCAACACGGGATGAGAACCAAAGAGACCTAGTGTTAACCACATAGTTCACGGATATTTATAACTATTAATACATAAGTACTAAACGCATATTTAAATTATTTTATTTTAAAATTAAATTATTTTATTTTAAAATTAAATTCTTTAATTCTAACAATTTTTTAAAAGGTTTTTTTATTTAAATAATAATAATAATTAAGAGTTGTCAAACAAGCTGTATAACTTTTTCTTTCCCATTTATCAATTTGTATCTAAATTTAAACAAAATTTGCTTGTTTCACATACAGAAAAGGGGAGTATTATATTTATAATTTTTTTTACAAATTATAATATGTATTCTCAAAAATATACTAGATTACATTATGTATTTTTGAGAGTACATAGTGTAATTTGTAAAAATTTATAATTTTTTTTTGTAAACAGATGCTTCCTAAAAAAAAAAATCATTACTCAACTATCAAACTTTATTCTTTAGCTCCCACGATGACATATAAGCAGCGGCGGAGCCACACATACGCCAGCAGGTGCCAAGGCACCTGCTTGTTTTTTTTTTACTTATTTCATATATTACATAATTAATTATAATTAGTCAAGCTTCAAATTATAATTTGGCACCACCTAAATAGAAAATCAAATACTCAATATAAAGTAACAATAAATTATTTAAATGCAAACAAATAATAAAGAACGTGTATAGTATGTTATTTTTGTGTTTCAAAAATTATTTTTTTTTCTCCTTTCCTCAGTCACTTCAACTGACGTGTAGAGAGAGAAAAAATAACTTTTCATGAAAATAGTTTTTTATGTTATAACTATGTCTTACCGGTAAGACATAATGTTAAAAACTAAAAAGACATAATTTGTGTTATTTAAAAGGATACACACTTAACTCTTGAAAATAACAATCATGAAACCAAATGAATAACAGGTCTATAGTTATGGAATATGAAGGTTTATTAAACTATTGTGTTTTGGGTTATTGAAAACACAAAAAATAGTCAAAAACCTAATTCCCAAATGTGAGAACTTTCCTTCGTGCTTATGGTTGTTGCAAATAAGGGAGATGTTCTCTAACGAGAGATATTGAAAATTTAAGGAATAGAGAAAATGAAAGAGAAGACGAAGGACAATGCTTATTATACATATAATTATTATATTTGATTGTTTTCATATTTTTAGGACAATGTTTGGTTCATTACTTATTATGTTGTAGGAGAAAAGTGAAATTCTTATGTTTGAAATGCTTACCGAAAAGATTAGTGTATTTTTATATTTTTTATTTGATATATAATCAATGATAATTGTTCATTTGAATTTTCAATGTTATGTGATATTATTTAGTACATAATTTAGATCATTATGCTACAATTCATATTAAATTTTTTTTCCTAATAAATATTTTAATAATTTAATATGTCAAATTTTCTGGCACCACCTAAATTATTGGGCTGGCTCCGCAACTGCATATAAGTTTACTTATGCATGTTAGTTAATGGAACTCCTCTTGCTTTATCATTTGAAAATAAATTAATGATGACATGAGCAAAAATGTGTTGATAACTCAATTTCTGATAAGATTCTTATGTGCAAAGCTAATTCACCTATAAAGTCAATTGTATTAGAAAAGATTATTTTCTTTTATTTATCTAGATTCATTAGCTGTTTTACTGTTTGGTTGGTGATGTGGTTGTAATATATTTGATTTTCCAAGTTAAAATACTAAGCTTTAAGGTCAAAAGAGCATACTTATCAATACATTTTATGGATTAATTGTTAGTTTTTCATTTTCAATGTTATTTCTCACTCAAGTTTATATTTGGATAGGAATTTAGCATGAAAAATGAGAATTTGCGCAGAAGGAAAATTTGGATCAGATGGGCGGCGCTATCAGCGCGGAATAAATGCATTTTCAGTGAAAAATCCGCGCCATCAGCGCGGAAGAAGTATGACCGGCGCTGATAGCGTGGATTAATTCAAATTCAGTACAAAAAGGCGCCATCAGCGCCGGTTTTCGAGCAGGAAGACACCGTGTTTTGAACGCGTGCGTGCAAAATTAAAAAGGGGGATCAGAAGACAAAAATGATAGAGAGGGAGAGCTTGAAAAGAACTTCTGGAGCTTTTTGCGGAGATTGATCTTGGAGATTATTTTCTCTTCCTTTTGAATTCTTATTCTTCTTTTATGAATCATTGTAATTCAGCTATGACCATGTCTGGCTAGTTTCCTTCATTGTGGGTAGGGTCACAGTTGGTTAAAAAGCCAACTCTTAAAACCTATCACCCAATACTTAGGACAAAAAAAGGTAAAATAATATAGGATAATATATTTATGGGATTAAAGTGTCTGCTGTAACTTTAGATAAAAGTGCCTGCTGTGCAATTAAACAGTGTCGTTTTGGTCTTTTTTTAAAAGTCAAATTGCTTACTGTGCAACTCTTCCGTATTCATCTTGTTCGCATGCCAGTTTCTTTTTCCCTTAATGGCAGTGTGATATTAAGGGAAAAAGCGTTGGAAAGATCATTCAGTAATTTGACTATCTTTACTGACATATGAATTAATCGCATCGAGAGAATGACATGTTTTGGTCGGAGTGGGTGATCGCGGAACCCAATTAAAATGGCGACAATAACAAAAAAAAAATGGAATGCAATAAAGTTAATATTACATGATGCTAAATGCACGATTGAACAGTTAACTTATAGTCTATTCTATAGAATGCATAATATAAATAACTGGTGTAAACGAACGCCATAATATGACAATCGAAGAGTTAAAAAGATTCGCCCCATCTAAGAAGAGGGGGGAACAAGAGGTAGACTTCCGCAAAGATTTAAAATGGCATTACCTAATTGCAGTAGGGCATAAGCGAGTGCCTTCCTGGTTGATCTTTCCAACGCTTTTTCCCTTAATATCACACTGCCATTAAGGGAAAAAAGAAACTGGCATGCGAACGAGATGAATACAGAAGAGTTGCACAGTAAGTAATTTGATTTTTAAAAAAAGACCAAAACGACACCGTTTAACAGCACAGCAGGCACTCTTATGTAAAGTTACAGCAGAAACTTTAATCCCTATATTTATTGGGGAAAAAAGTATCTAATGTTACTTTAGACAACTTTGTCTAATGTTCATTGAAACGACGTAGTTTTATGGTTGAAAAATTAAAAAAATAGAATGATAAAGACTATTATAACCCTGAAATAAATTAAAATTACAAAAACACCATGATTTCCGCTCCAAAACGACGTCGTTTTGGTGAACATGACATAAAGTTATCTAAAGTAACTTTAGAAAAAATAAACCCATATTTATTATGTAGGAGGAAAATAAAAGAATTTCATGCACATACAACAATAGATGAAGAGCTCGTTAATTTTTGTTTCTCTCTCTTTGATTGCTATCTCTCTCT